TCAATAAAACATTGTGTTCAGCTGAAACCTTATATATATAAATATATAGATATAGATATAGATATAGATATATAGCAGCATTTCATTTTAAATCATGGAAATGTGTGGGGAAAATTTGGGGGCTTTTAATCAGAGAATTCATGCAGTTTTAATCAGAGAATTTGTGATTTTTAAACAAAGAAAACCAGGATCCCTGCTTATGACGGACTTACAGGAAGTTGAGCCCATTTAGCATGCTGCAGGAAGAAGTACCCATAAAACAGTAAACATTGTTTTCCTACAAAAGTGTGTTGGTTGAATGTTTATAAAGCACTTGGAAAAGCAAGCTCTATTAGACTTAGCCATGCACCCACTAAGTACCTGTACATTTAATTAATGCATTTTATATGGCCTAGAATAAAACTTGGTATAATAGATGGACATGATAGCTGGGCACAAAAGAAAGGTAAGTAAATGAATAACTATGCTATAGGTTTATTATGACTTTGGCTTGTAAAACAATATTAAACCATGCGGCAAAAGGATGTTATCAAGGAAGACAGATGGTTAGAAGCTCTGGATTAGTTTAATGACTTTTAATTAGAACTTCATATTAACCCTTTTGGATCCTTTGCAAAAGGCAATATGAGCCCTTATAGAAGAACATCAGAAGACTTTCATTTTCAATAGCATATGGTAATATTTGCCAGACTCCTTCTCCTTTTATGAGGTACTATTCCCTGGTTCCTTAATGGATATGTTAAGACAACAGAATTATTTCCTAAAAAGTGGGACAATACATCTATTTATTTCTGTGATGAGAGGCACCCAACTAGTAGAATGGGTGTGACTGGTTAACAAATTACCTTGTATTCAAACTATCATTCTTCTAGTGCTGTAGGTCATAATTTTAATGTCAGGTAGTTAAATTTCTTGCGGAACAACTCCAGCGATCTCATCTTGACCTCAATGTCTTTGATTAGCTTGTCTAATCTGGCCATGCTGCATTCAACCAACATTCAGCCAACACTCAGGATGGCGCATGTAACAAATTTGACCTAGCATGTATAGCTTAAGAAACAGTCAAAGAGATTCAGCTTTTTAGCTAATTTCTGAGTGCATACATTGACTTTCACACCGCTTGTGAATGACCGTGATAATTCAGTGAATGTGGCCACAGTTAATTACATCTACAAAGTGATGAATTGTTAATATGGCAGTGACTATGTGCTAATGCTGTCCTGAATCTTGAGCACGGCTAATCTGAATGCACTGTTTCAAGAAGTCTGAGCAGACTCTGTTTAAGCTGATTGCTCATGTAACTAATAAATTGGTGTATCTCCTCCTGACACTCCTGGCTGCCAATGCAATCTGAGAGATCATTCAAATGTAGTTATGCCAAGGATGATTTTATCTTACTCCATGAAATTACACCACAGACAAATGTGGCCCATGGCTGATTCAGGAAAATATGAACTGCATTAATGTGAACCTTACTCTGGAATCTTCCGTTTGTCCGCGAATTCATAACCCCAATTTTGACAGTCAGCTTCAGTGCCATGAAAAAAATCAGACCACCCACATGATCACAAGATGATGCAAACACTTGGCCTGTCAGTTGAAATCAGTGTGATAGGTGAAGAAGGCAGAACTGAAGAAACCAGAGGCACAATTTGCTTGTTTATGTACAATATTTCTATAAACTGGGGCAATAAATAAGGGAAGGAGCTGGATAAGGTTCAAGAAATATTTTGTTTTTGCTGTAATAGAAAGCTGATATTTAAAGCAGAAAATGGTGAAGAGGGAAACTCAAGGGACAGGGAGCTGACTACTGACCGACTGTTTTGCTGTTTATATTACAGGACTGATTACATGGCCAGACTGTAGGATCCCATTGTGATACACACTCTATTACACACAGTGACCATCCTCGCCACTGTAACCAGACAACACAAAGGGCACAAGGGGACTGGGGTCACAGAGAGATAAAGCAATTTGCCCGAGGTTATACAGCACATCAGTAGCACAGGGCAGAACCAGATCTCTTGACTCATTGTCCAGTTTTTCCCCTGTTATTCCTCCCCTGAACTAGCAGGGCAATACCATAAAACTTAATTTTACCGAGCACAGCTATATGACTTGTATGTTACTTGTTTCTTTTTCCCCTACAAGAACAGCCCAAAAATTTAAAGGCCAGTCCCCCTCCCCAGTCCCATTACAAGTACAGCTCGAACAGTGGGACATGAAAATCTCTCTCACCTCCCAGTACAACTTTTATCTGGCCCAGGGCATTCAGATCTAGAGACACCACTTGGATGATTACCATGAGCATCTCTGAAACCTGTGCCATGGTTGGCCCAGCACTGCTTCAGTTCATCTGAGGCTAATAGCAGCTCCCACAGGGGTAAAAACACATGTCTCTACACTGCTTCTCTCATCACTGGAAGCACCTGGGAATTTCAGGAGACGAAACAGAGTGGTGGGAAGAACACAGGATAATCAAGATTAGAGGGGCACCAGTGATGCCCACTGCTATTTCCTCTTCTGTCTCATCTTCATGTGGTTGGGATTATTTAAGTGGGGTAAACTACACAATCCTCATTTCTCCCAGTGGCAAATCTGGGGCATCAGGCTGTAGAACATGCAAATTGAAATACAGACCTTTCTTCTAGATCTCCACACTACACAGCTGTCCAGTGAAGTGTAAAGTTAATGCTTTTCTCCACAGCTCTTGGGAGCAGATCAGCAGCAACAGCCCCTCTTTGCCCTTTGTCTTGGGTGCCAAAGACCAAGGTGTTCCTCCCCCAGCTCCACCAAGCACAAAAGTCAGAGGAACTGGAGACCAAACAGCAGCTCTGAAAAGCTCATTCCCCCCCCATGCCCCCCCCAAAAAGGAAGACATTCTCTCCCGTTAATTTTGATCCATGAAACAATTACACAAACTGCACGACTTACCCAGGCTGAGACATTTAACAGACCCTTGCACACGTTCAAGGCAAAATGCCTGCTAGTACACTGTACTCTTGGCGGCTCCAGCAGTCACAGGCAGGATCACACAGGGGCTGCCTTCCCCACCCTGTTACTGTTATTCTGCCTGCAACTGGGCCCTACAAAAGGAGCAAAAGCCTCTCACATCCCTGCCTCTGCATGGGGAACAATGTGGGGGAGGGAGGGGACAACAATTGACTAGGTAGGAAAATCTTGGAGGGAGAGATGCTCCTTTTGCAAACCAACAATTAACCAGGGAAGCCTTGGAAGGGAAGGGGACAGAGAGGGGGTATGGAGCGGATGCTCCCTTTGCAAAGCAATAATTGACTAGGCAGGGAAACCTTGGGAGGGAAGGGGGAAGATGCTCCCTTTGCAAAGCAGCAATCAACCAGGGAAACCTTGGGGAGGGGGAAGGAAGGGGAAAAGGGGGGAGCTGCTCTGCAAAGGGCTTAGTCCCATTGCCACGGTTCACCCCGCAGGGCAGGGACCGCACTTACCTTCATCATGCTGGGGACAGCAAGCCTGCGCAGGGCCGGATGCGCCAACCCGCCCGCCGGCCCCGCGCGGAGCTGCAAGGAGGGACGCTGCG